AAGTTCTGACACAGCAGTGCAACTACTGTTAGCACCCTTAATTTTGAAAAATTGGGCATAGGTTCCCCGGATGACCCCTAACCGGGGGCCAACGGTGCTTCTACAAGTTCAACAAGTGAAAAATACATGATACAAAATGTACATGTATTTACTACCTGGAACTTGGAGCAAAGGTGTTACCGACATTAACCTTAATATATTAAAAACTAAGCCAAACTAACTAAGCTAGTAACCCAATCATATTCATATCCCAAACAAAATCACATATTGACACGGCTGAACAAATAAAAATGTGATTATGTCTATAGACTCCTACTCAAAAACAATTTTTGGGAGACACTCGGACCGCCTGGTAGGCATGATCATATTAAATCTCTAATATATGTCAAGTCCTTCACAGCATCCAACCGCACATTCTAAGAAACAACTATTATAATATTCTGACACTAGAAACCAATAAATTTGAAACATTTCACAGTAATGTTTAAAAATTAACCTTCTAAAAATATAAGTGAATTTTTATTTCTGTTGATGCCGAAAAATTTCATGCGTTTAAAGTATCGTTTTAGCACATTGCAATATCTTGTACGTTTGGATGCTAACTTGACCTTTGACCGCTTTTGTTGTCAACATGTGTCGGCCATGTCGGCCATTATTTCTCAGTCTTTCGAGCTGTTTTTTTGGACAAATTTCAACCGTTTTAAACATTTTACGGCCTCAAAAACTCATAAAACGGAGAAACTAAGGTATAGTTGTTATTTTCATGCGTATCATTTCTTCTGGGGATGGATTATTTTTCCGCGGAACCGCCGAAAACTAGCGGTCGGGCACGCGCACAGCCGGCAGGATAGCGGCTCGATCCACGTCGCTCGGCCGAAGAAAATTCGAACGACGAACACATTTATCGGGGAAATATTGGAATTAAATCCCTACGCGCACGTGCTAAGGGAGGCGAAACGCCGATCAACACCCGCTGTTATTTGAGTAGAGGGAATGCTCACGTGCAGGCCGGCAGGCCGAAGCGGGATGTTATCAGGCGGGACCGCGGCACTGTTTAGTATTTCAGAAGCCGCTGGCCGTAAATCCAGCCGCTGTAAAAATAACTTGCGCTCCGGGCAACCTGGCTTTCCCAATAAGTCTCGCACAGAAAAAATTACTTGCGCGGCGAGACTGCGAGACCGGGTATTTTAACCCCTGCCACATTTGTACCAGTTCTGCCCTTTGAGAGTGAACAGTTGGATGGTAGGTATGCCCACACAAAGCATTACATATTGACATGTGCAGCACTGGTGCAACAACTTTAACCCTGAAGAAGAAAGAAACAACCAACTGCTTCATAACAGTAAAGACAAAACAGCAACAAAACCCAAAACAAAGACTAACCCAATGCATCAGACAAGGAGAGAGAGATGGAGGTCCCAGCGTCCAGCTGTGACTTGACCCTGATGCCTCCATCATCCACACGTTGTGCCCAGCGCCCTCGAGGCTGGGACGGACTGCTGTATGTGTCTGGTGCATTCTTACTCACTTCTTCTTCCACCCCCTGAAAATACAACAGTAAGTATCAGTAAGTATCTGGCACTGACATTATGTAGGTTACAAAAGAGAAGGGTCAGACAAGCTAGCACACTCACATCTTTCTAAATCTACACACTATATTCACTAAAAAAATGACGAGTAGAAAGCAGCAGATTGATTGATCACACATCACAAAACCCAATACCTGTTTTTTTGCCCAAGATGGAAGCACACTAAAGCGGTAGTCAAACTCTGGGCCAACATTGGCTGCCTCTGTAAGGTTAAAGAGACAGATTTTACATGTTAGAACCACCCTTTTTTATCATAATCATTTTATTCAAGTCAGCTGGATAGAATGTTTAAATTCAATGGAAATTGACACCTGACATAATCACACCCATGAACTAGTACATTTTTACCTGGCTTTAAGTGAGGCTCTGGTGACTTCTGAAAGAGCGAAGGCCGGCCAGGAGCAAAATCAGACTCAGTCAGCCCAAGGTCCTGCTGAAGGAGGGGGGCTGTGATGTTTAGGTCAGGAGGACTAGTGTGTCCGTTAGCAGTTGGTACTGAAGGTGGACCAGTGGTTGGGAGTACAGCATACGTCTCTCGTCTGCATGGGCTGTCCGTTACTGCAAAGGTGTCTCTTCTAAAGTAACAGTAGGGAAAACCATATTACTCTGAGAAATGATTAAGGTTTCATTCTTTTTTAATCTGCATTCCTTCTTGTTATTCACAATTAATATGTTAACCTCGAGAATCTCTGCATTAAGGATGGAAAGTGGATGAAAAGTTATGGTCTTAACCAGGCAAACTTGTCTGACCTGAGTCTAATCTTGGGAACCTCTGTAGGCAGCTGCTGTCCCAACTCTGCCAGCCGATCCTTCATGGTCTGTGTGAAGACTGGGGACAGCTTCCACACAAAAATGCAGCTGGGGAGAGATTGAGGACATGGACTTGGCTATAGACAAAATTGGCTCCAGGACTTACAAACCCCCATCACTCAAGAAAACTAAAAGCATATTACTTTTGCCCAGAATATAGAATAGACACATCTTTTAAAACTCACCCGTCTCCTGATGTGGATATCAATCTCTTCAGATCAGGTGTAAACTTGACACCTGTTACCAGCTCTGTAATCAGATGATAAACATGGGTTAGAAAGCCAACAATGATATGAATATATCAACATTCACACCCTGCATTTCTTGTAAAACTTTCTGTATCATCATTGTATTCTTTCTTATGGAGTTAGTAAAAACCAAACGGGATATTCAAAGCTCGTGTTTGACAAGAATATGTAACCTAACACCCAATACAGGAACTGCTGTTTATACTGATGCTCCATTATGACTTAGGCAGGTACAAAGTGGCAGGGTGCTGACCTGAGTGTCCAAACATGGTGGCCACACATTCTCCTGAGTAGAAATCATAGATGCTCAGGTTTTTGTCTGAACAGCTGGTGACTGCATACATTCCTGATGGGTCCAGCTGCACCTGCAAGGGGTTCCACATGCGTGTTTAGATTTAATATACAACTTGGATTATGCTAGTCAAAATTCAATTCAACAGAAATTGATGCATGAACTTTACTTAGTCATTCCTACTTCTTAGACATGATAAAGAATGGAATATTTCCTAAGGTTTGATAGCAAGGTTTCAAAATTTCATGCCTTTTTTCTTTCTACTGTTTTTTACTCATCTTGCATCCACACAAATGGAAGAAAGAACTTAGTAATTAAATGAGTGGGGCTTTACATGAAGACTAAGTATAACACAGTTCATTCACCCACCTTTATCAATGTGCCATCATCTCCTACTGATCCTTTGTAACCCTTCTTTTGTTTCCCACTGTTAGTGTTGAAAATTCTGTGGATAGAAAAACAAATATGGTGTCATAAATCATTGATTGACTGGTTGTACAAAAGATGCAGATTTTCTGGGCCTTAACCAAGCCAAGTTGCTTTTGCTAAACTGAAACAAAATAATTAATTTTTCCAAACCTGACATTCCTATCCTGACAAGCAGTGGCCACATACTTCTTGGTGATGTCCACATCCATGTCATAGAATGTGCACTTGCCCAGAATGTAGTGGTTTCTGATGAACTGCATGTCTGTGTTGGTGTTGGTTGGCCCCTGCAAGACAGAATACAAGACATGTCTTTGTAACACCAACATGTAAACACATTCCACCTGGAGCATTTATGAGGGGACTCTACAAAGCTACAAGCCATGGCCTAGAGAGATTTACCTGCTGTAGTGAGCGGAACATGAGTGCCTTGTCAGCCCCACAACTTAGCATCTGCAGCTGGCCATTGTGATCTGCAAGCATAAAAAACAGTGAGGACGCCAATGAAAGAAACAGGAATTACGGTAGCATACAAACTGATTATGAATAAAAACTAAGAAAGGCTAGTACAGGTCACTTGGGGAATTATCTAAACAAAAGTGTAGAATGGTACTTTCTTGGTATAACTGTCCAGTTAAATTGAAAATGTGCAGACAATGCAGCCTGTATACCTGTAAATTTGACTGCTGTGATGGCTGCTGAGTGATCGTCCAGTGTCTGCAGCAGTGAATAATTCCTGTCAGCTTGGAAGATGTGAATGAGTCTGTCACGGCTGGAGGAGGCAAGAAGATTCAGACCTGTGGACAAACAAAACACATTTTAAAGACAAGGCTAAGTAAGCATACTCATAGTCTTTTTGTCTCTGCATTATTCTGCAAATGTTCAGTTTGCACACAAATTTCAGCAATGAATCAAATGGGGAACATTTTGCTGCAGAATTTGTCTTTCCTACCTGTCTGATCTGGGTTGGCGTACTCCAGACACAGGACCTCTCCATCGTGTGCCTCCAGGTACTTCAGCTGGTCCATGAATTGCAGCTCATGGACACGGATATTCCCACAGCGATCTCCTGATGCAAGGTGCTGCCCATCAGGACTCACCTTCACACAACGGACACCGTTCTTTCCTCCATAGCTGTCATCCGTCTTGTCATTGCTGCCAGCTGCACATTGAGGAAAATACAGCTTCTAAGTCTGCTTATTTCATTGCTTGTAGAAGTTTAGAAGTAAACACTGAGAGAATTTATGTTACCACACTTGTCTTCAGACAAAACAGCGACACCCAATGGTAGCTCTAGCTTGCTGATACTGTGTTTGACACATAATCATAATGTAATCATGTTTAAAACTTGCTTCATAATAACCTAGTGACAGTGCAACTTCACTTACCAGGGTTGTAATCCACATCTCGGATGTACTGGTAACTTTCATCTGTGTAGATAACTTTTAACAGCTCCTGTAGAATGAAAGAGGAAAAGTGTTTCAACTAGTCCCTTGACCTTTTACCACCAAAATCATCTAAGAAAGTTAGCATGCTAGTTTATTACTCCTGACGTCAGAGACGTAACTCACATTACTGTAAATGTTCCTCTTGAGGACAGTGTCTGTGTGGAGTGAGGAGTCCAGGTTCCAGATCCGAATAGTGTCATCTGAACCACAAGTGATGAAGGATCCAGCTGGAAGCGCTGCCTTGAACCCTTCTGGAACATTTGGATATGTCTGTGGAAGAAAACAAAGTGTTACTGTCCAATGGAGACAACCACAATCTCTTAAAGGTTCTTGCACAAAGAAAAGTCCAATTGGTAGAATCACTGAAAGTTCCTTTTTAAAAGAGCATTACCTCTACTCCCCACACACAGGAGCTGTGGTACAGGAAGGACCAGGCCTTGCCAATCTTCTTCTCATCTTTCACATCCCACACATACAGGCTGTGGTCGTCATACACACAAGTCACCTGCAGGAGAAAATCACACAACAATAAATCGTATTAGACATCCTTGGTAGGGTTCTCAAACCATTAGGCTTCAATCTGACAATCTAAACACAATGTTTGTGCTTGCAAACGAAGTGATTACAGAGTATGTGTTCTTACCTTATTATTTGGTTCGTCATACTTGACAGCAATTGTACTTGGGTACTTTGCATTGTCATTCTTTGTGATGAATTGGCTGAAAAGTCACCAAAAGAAACATTACTTATGGTACAAGTATATTTCTTACATTACTTACATGTTATTATACAATTACAAAGAAAAGGTTACATTTATGATGTGACCCAGTTCATGTCTAAAATTTAGCCTTGAAATATTTACCGGTATGTAAGAAAATACAAAGAAAATGTAAATTGGATTTGCATTAGCACAAAGAATGAAACTGACATTAAATGCAGTTTGTATATGAACATTTAGAGGCTTAGTTGAGTAAAGGTTACCTTGGGTCAATACTAGCAGCAACATCTAGCCCCAGGTAGTGGGGTTTGGGAAGGGTGCAGATGTAGTGCAGGGTTTTGGGGTCAAACAGCCGTACCACCCCATCAGCACACCCACAGACTATGTGATTCTCTGATACAGAGATACAGTTGGCACAAGTTGTCTGCAACAAAAAAAATAGTACTTGATTTCTTCATTTTGGTAACTTCCATAATATCATAACTGAGTATGATACTGAAAGCCAAAATTAGTCGTCCCATCCAGATTCTGAACAGAAGTTGCTCCTATAGATGTGTGTAAGGGTTTGGATTTCCGACATTTATACAAATATACACTGGTATAAGAGTGAAAAACTAAAGTACCGGTAGATTGCAGACAACAGTACAACATGGACATTAGATATAAGTGTGGTGAGTGTAGCTGTAAATTGATGACAAGGTTTTAAGCTTTAAGAAACAGAAAGGCAAAACGTTGTTAATGTCTTCAGCCTCTTTATGTAACTGCAGGCAATCCTAAATTGACCAGTCAATGTGAAAGCAATCTACCTACAGTAGAAGGTACAGCAAAGGCATGTTACATGCAGCTGCTTAGAAAATGCATATCAAGATCCACTCACTACAGTCTTTCCATCCTGTCCATAAGACAGAGAGTCACACGTCTAGCAGAGAGACACAAGACAGTGGTGTGAAAATGTGTTGTAGTGAAACATGCAGAACAGAGCAACTGGATACATGAAATCCTGTTCTGCTTAAGAAGGTCTCCCAATCTTGCTAATGTTAGTCTGATAACCAGTGACACAAATGTATTCTGAATAAGCAGAGATGCAAACTCAGTCACTGAACATTGCCATTATCTAAAATATTATCTCTCTAGCACCAATATACCTTCAACACTAGTGCTTTGAGATGCATGATCAAAGTAAAAAAATGACACAACAAGCATATAGCTGAGTGTACCACCAGTAAGTTCGGTTTCCATGCAGTGCTAATCAACATTCAGAAAACCACACCATTTATTGTAATGGACCAATGTGGGTCATACAAAGATTACTATTGACTCAGTAGTCTACACAAAGCTTGAAAGATTGTACCAGTAGTCCATGTAATATTTATGTGAAACTTTTATTACAAAGTAAATACCCATAAATCAGGCTTCTGTAATACATTTTTACATTATAAATAGGTTATTTCACATGTCAGTACAAAGTGTGCTTACCCTGAGTTCTACCCACTTGTCCAGGAGGCGTCTCTCATTGAACTCACAGAGCAGTCCTGACCTGGTGATACAGTACGTGCTGTCCTTCATCATGCCCCGCCCACAGGCCACATCACAGAAGAAGTTGTTCCTCTGTTCTCCCAGGATGCCTGATCGACCAA